ACTTTGGTTCATATCTACTTACGGATGATTTTCCAGAAAAGGAATTTTGAGAAGCTTTATTATATGAAATATTTAATTTGATACTGCTTTGTAGAACTTAACTCCATATGAAATACGCTAATTTTTATAATTTTTCAGATATTTGAGTCGTATGAAAAAAGTATTGGATGCTCTCAGATCCCCTGATCCCTTGTAAATTTGAAGGCTGAGGGAGGAATCCATTGGCCTTGCAGGTTTTCGAGCCTGTTTCGTGGATTCAGTGAAAACAAACACAATTCCGACTGAAATGCGTTGGATCGACCTGTTGGAAGGCTGTGGGATATGTATATCTTCGTATCTACATTTATGTGGCTCTTATCTAATTTAGGATGGTTTTACAAAGCAAATATCTTTGAGAAACTTTAGGTATTTTTAATTTTTATTTTGAAAATAACCGGTAGTTTTATCTTTTATTTGAATTATGCAAATATTGCTAATTTTCCAGATATTTTAAAGATATTTACCAATGTTTGGGATGCTGATCCGCTGTACATATAGAGGCAGGGGGAGGAAACTTTCATCCTGTGGGTGTTCGACAACCTTTCGTCCCGCCAGCGTAATCGGACTCCACACGGACTGTACCATATTTGGTAGGGTACTTGGAAATTGGAGGTTGCATTAGAAATTTAGGTTGGCAACCACAGATTGGGGCGGGGTGGGGCCCCAATCATTACGTTCTAATATTAATCATGCAATTGTGTGATGATGAGATAGTCAGAGTGATTGGTGAGGAGGAGAATATTCTTCGCGGATTGAGAGAACCCTGCGAGCACCGGAACGTTGTATTTACTGTCTGCGAATGGACAAGAAGGAATTGGTCTTTCTCAGGGGCCACTTCGCCGACCTTTCCCAGGCCGTCCTGAGGAAGCTGATGGCTGAGAGAAGACTGGAAACCTTGAATTCCGCCGCGGACAAAGGGTTGGGCGATCGTCTCACTGGCCAGTCCAGTTATCTCAAGCAGGTCTGAGACGTATGGTGGAATGTGGGTTGGTTCGTGTCTCCCACAATGCACCGAGAGCCACCGCGGACTTGGACTCGTCCGACTCGGGCTGTTCGGTGGAACGTGCCACTTGGCGCCCGGCGCCAGGGCCAATATTCTGACCGCCCAGTCGAAGTTTCTCTACGCCCAAGGCCAGTGGATAAACTCACTGCCTCCACGGGCGTTCACGTCGATGCCAGCGGCCGGCAACTTAACCATGCTGAGGTCATCGCGGCGTGCACCGTGGTAGTGGCCGGGCGACCCGTTAAATGGGCGGCCGCTGAGGTGGATTCCTCGTACCGCTGAGCTGAGGGTAAATATGCGAGGGACAAGAAGGCGCCGCAGAATTCCCCCCGTGTCCACTTTCCCCAGAGAGGAGAGAGGCGCCGCGTTGAAACCACCGAGCGGGACGGTGAAGCCCCTAGCCACGAGACCCGGTTCCCAGCCGGGATTCGCTTCCTCGACGGAGGAGACACTGAGGCGCAGGTCTTCCGGGGTTTCCGGTGACTTGTCCGCAGCTACGTTCTGACTATGTTCAAGACAAAGAGTATAGGTGAAATTTTCTTTAATCCCCTTATTTACGTATAGTGATTTCTCTGAACGAATCCTTACGTATGAAGCTACAACGCGCTTACATAACCTTAGTCACTATCAGATTCTTCGCCATAAAAATATTTCTGAACTCATTTTGTGCATTTCTTAGTCTTGTGACGTATCTGTGCACGTATAGGCACCTGTTAGAATACATAAAGAAAAGTTTTTGTGCGTAATTTCTTGTTGATAAAGTCGGATGTTGGTGATCGTGGCCTTTAGGGTTGAGTTAGGTTAGGTTAGGTTAGATTAGGTTAATGGGGCATCTGCGCAGAAGGTGATGCGCATTGACTTGTGCAAATTGTCTAGGTTACGGCGTCGTATGAGTTTTGCCTTGCCTGGCCTTGTTTTGCCTTGCCTTGCCTTGCCTTGCTTTGCCTTGCCTTGCCTTGTTTTGCCTTGACTTGCCCCTCCCTGCCCTACACTACTCTGCCTTGCCATGCCATGCCTAGCCTTGACTTGCTTTGCCTTGCATTGCCTTGCCTCGCATTGCCTTGCCTTGCTTTGCCTTCCCTTGCCTTGCCTAGCCTTGCCTAGCCTTATCTTGTCTTGGCTTGACCTACCCCGCCTGTCCTGCCCTGCTGGCCCTTTCCCGCCCTGGCCACTTCTGCCCTTCCTTGCATTGCCTTCCCTTGCCTTGACTTGCCCTGCCCCCCCACCCTGGCCTCATTTGCCCTGCCTTGCCTTGCCTTGCCTTTCCTAGCCACGCCTTGCCTTGCCTAGCCACGCATTGCCTTGCCAAGCCTCGCCTTGCCTTGGCTAGCCACGTTTTGCTTAGTGGCCCGTGGGGGGAACGAACTCACTACCTTCGCGTTATCAGCGAAAAATTGTTAAAAGCAAACAAATACTAACAATACGTAGGACTAATTACATCCATTTCTGCGAGTGGCAGTGACTGTAGGGAATATCAATGTATTCCCATATCCATGCGGGGAATCATATGTTATTACATGATTACCTGAGCAACACCTCCCCTATGTAAAAGATCCCTCCCGCTTGCACTGAAAGCTGCCAGCTGCAGTGTAAATGTTATCCTTCTGGTCCTAGGATCACAACAACGAGCTCGAGATGGACGATGACTCCGCGGAGAATGATGACCCCGAGGTAAATGACGAGCTCGAGGAGAACGATGACCTCGCGGTGGATAATGACCCCCAGATGTATTATGTCCTCGTGGTGGATGACGAGCTCGAGGTGAACGATGAGCTCAAGAGAGACAAAGTGTGATGTCTCATCAAATCGCTGAAGGCCGGGATTAAAGAGCAACGTGCAATGAACGAAATCTTGGTATGTCAGAAGTCTGTATTTGCTAGAAAGTTTCCACTTTCACATATGTGTCTTAAGGCTATGAACACACCATATGATGATCACATGTGGCATTGTTTTCTTCATGATTAATGGAACAGGGGATTTCCAAGTAAGGATGACGAAGTTCGATGAACATAATGCATGATTTCCTTAAAAGAATAGTGTTTTTTATATAAGAGACGTATATGATTAGACGTCTTCAAACAACCGTTTAAACTCATGTCTGTCTGTAGATAACATTACATCGTATATATTCAGACACATCTGTGTTTCTGCGATAATCCCCGACGAACTCTGCACGCCGATGTTCGTTGATAGAGAATTGTGTGTTATTTAGAGCTGAAAACGCTTAATATGACAACACAGTAATCTGCTTGTAACTTACATATTATTAATTGAACAAAAGTGCTACTTTAAAGCAATTAATATCTATCATAAATATACATGTTTATAATAATTTGAAATATTTCCCTTCAACTTTATGAACCACAAATTATAACAGATTTTGTACTTCCTGTAATGTACGGATGGACTTATGTTTTGATTTTTGCGATCTGATATTTGTGCCACTAAATTCTGTTTGTATTTTAAGGTTTATAAGTTATTAAAAATGGATAACTATGTTCGAAGTATATGATGCTTTATTACCTAAAAAGAAATGTGATTTTTATGTAAAATATGTATATGATTAGACGTCATCAAAAAACCATAAAATCTCAAATTTGTCTGTAAATGTCATTGCATCGCCTATAATCACACATATCTTTGTAACGGAGATGTTCTCAAACGTATAATGTCGTCGCTGTTCGGCGATGTTCGTTGAAACAGAATTGTGTGCTATTCAGAGCTGAAAAAGCATAATAAGAAACACAGATATTTGCTTGTAACTTACATAATATTAATCGGACAAAAGTTTTTTTTTATGGCAATTAGTATCTATCCTAAATATACATTTTATAATAATTTGAAATATTTCCCTTCAAGTTTATGAGCCACAACTCATAACAGTTTTTAAACTACCTGTAATGTACGGATGATCTAATGTTTTGATTTTTTCGATTTGATCTGTGTGTCACTAAATACTGTTTGTAATTTAAACTTAAAATGTAATTTTACAAGGATAACAATATTAGAGTTACATCTTGTTTTATTACTTCAAAAGAATAGTATATGTAAAAATATATATATGATAAGACGTCATCAAAAAACCATCAAAACTCAAATTTGTCAGTATATTTCATTGCATCGTATATAACCACAGATATCTATGTAAAATGTAGGCGCTGTTCGGCGGTGTACGGTCATATTTAATTATGAGTTTTTCAGAGCTGAAAACGAGTAGAATGACAACACACTAATTTGAATGTAACTTAAATAATATTTAAAGGAAAAAAATGCTACTTTAAATAAATGTATATCTAACCCTAATGTATATGATTATAAAAATTGGTAACAAATCCCGTCAACATTATGAAACTCCATTTCTGACAGTTTTTGGACGACCTGAAATATGCGGGTGAACTAATGTTTTGAATTTTGCGTTGTGAGCTGTGTCCACAAAATATTATTAGTATTTTTACGTTTGTATGTAATTTTGAAAGGATAACATTGATCGGGGTACATCATTCTTGATTATCTCAAATGAATGGTTTTTTTAATATAAAACATGTATATGATAAGACGTGTTCAAATAACCATCAAAACTCAAGACTGTCTGTAGATAATATTACATCGTATTTATTCACACACATCTTTATTTCTGCGATAATCCCTGACGAACTCTGTGTTCGCTGCACGCCGATGTTCGTTGATACAAAATTGTGTACTATTCAGAGCCGAGAACGCATAATATGACAACAAACTAATCTACTTGTAACGTACATAATAATAATCGGACAAAAGTCCTACTTTAGAGCAATTAATATGTAACCTAAATATACATGTTTATAATAATTTGAAATATTTCCCTTCAACTTAATGAATCACTATTTCTGACAATTATTGGACGACCTGCTATGTACGGTATGACTAATGTTGGAATTTTGCACATTGAGCCGTGTGTCATTAAATACTGTTTGTATGACCTGCTATGTACGGTATGACTAATGTTGGAATTTTGCACATTGAGCCGTGTGTCATTAAATACTGTTTGTATTATCACGTTTGTACGTATCTTTGCAAGGATGTCAATGTTCGCTGAACATAATGCATTATTTCCTTAAAAGAATAGTGTTTCTTTATATAAGACTGTATATGATAAGACGTCTTCAAACGACCTTCAAAACTAATATCGGTCTGTAGATAATATTGCAACGTATATATTCACACACATCTGAATTTCTGCTATAATCCCCAACGAACTCTGTGGTCGCTGCACGCCGATGTTCGTTGATACAGAAATGTATGCTATTAAGAGCTAAAAACGCATAATAAGACAACACACTAATTTTCTTTAACTTACATAATATTAATCGGACATAAGTACTACTTAATAGCAATTAATATCTATCCTAAATATACATGTTTATAATAATTGTAAATATTTCCCTTCAACTTTATGATTCACAACTTCTAACAGTTTTTGTACTACCTGTAATGTACGGATGGTCTAATGTTTTGATTTTTGCGTTCTAATCTTAGTGCCACTAAATTCTTTTCACTATTGTTCGTATCTTTGCAAGGATGACGATGTTCGATGAACATAATGCATTTTTTCCTTAAAAGAATAGTAGTTTTTTATATAATACATGTATATGATAGACGTCTTCAAACTACCTTCAAAAATCATGTCTATCTGAAGAAAGCATTGCAACGTATATATTCACACACATCTGTGTTTCTGCGATAATCCCCGACGAACTCTGTGGTCGCTGCACGCAAATTTTCGTTGATACAGAATTGTGTGCTATTCAGAGTTGAAAAAGCATAATATGACAACACACTAATCAGCTTGTAACTTACATAATATTAATCGGACAAAGGTGCTACTTTAGAGCAATTAATCTCTATTCTAAGTGTACATGTTGATAATAATAGGAAATATATCCCTTCAACTTTATTAACAACAACTTCTAACAGTTTTTTTACAACCTGTAATGTACGGATGGTCTAATGTTTTGATTTTTGCGATCTGATATTTGTGCCACTAAATTGTGTGTGTATTTTAACGTTTATTTGTATTTTTAAAATGATAACATTGTTTGAGGTAAATCATGCTTCATTACCTCAAAGGAATAGAGTTTTTAAAAACAGATATGTATATTATTAGACGTCTTCAAACAACCATCAAAACTGAAATTTGTCTGAAAACTTCATTTCGCGTTTACAATCACACATATCTTTGTAACCGAGATATTCTTCAAAATACAATGTGTATGCTGTGCGCCGATGTTCGTTGATACAGAATAGTGAGCTACTCAGAGTTTAAATCGAATAATATGTTAACACAACATTCTGCTTGTAAATTAAACAATATTAATCGGACAAAAGTGCAACTTTAAACCAATGATATCAAACGTTAACGTGTATGTTTATAATAATTCGAAACAATTCCGTTCAACTTGATGAAGCACCATTTCTGACAATTATAGGACGTCCTGTTAATTACGGTTTGACTAATGATAGAATTTTGCGTTCTGAGCCGTGTGTCACTGAATAATGTTTGTATTTTCACGTTTGTACGTATCTTTGCAAGGATGACGATTTTCGATGAACATAATGCATTATTTCCTTAAAAGAATAATGTTTTTTTATAAGACATGTATATGATAAGACGTCTTCAAACAACCTTCAAAACAAATGTCTGTCTGTAGATAACATTGCAACGTATATATTCACACACATCTTTGTTTCTGCGATAATCTCCGACGAA